CAGCCTGATCATATCTATCTCAGTCTGTTCATATCTATCTATCTATCTATCTATCTATCTATCTATCTCTATCTCATTCATATCTACCTATCTATCTCAATCTCATCATATCTATCTATCTATCTATCTATCTATCTATCTATCTATCTATCTATCTATCTATCTATCTTTTCCATTTGTCGTTCATTTGATATACAAGGATTTCTATATCATATTTTCCTAAACATTGTGGCAATGTTCTTAATTGATATTATTAAGTGTTGGTTTTTATTCTTTTTATTATTATTAAGGCTTTCATTATTTTTAATCTTTTCAAAATCGCTGCTTTGTTTCAACACTTAATAATATTAACTACGAACAAGACCCCAATGTTCTAACTGTGTTCGGAAAATAAAACATCTCTATATCACTAAAAACATACACACAACGCACATACTCAATTCAACTGAAAAAATAAAGGGATCCTTGATAATGGCTAAAAGTATAGCCGAAAGCGCTCGGAATTGTAGAACATTTGTTCAGTTTCTACACACTCTGTGTCCAAAAATAAAACACTTATTCGAACACAAGAAAAATTAAATAAAAAGCTTAATCGTAGTAACTTGTCTGTCGTTTTTAATGAAACAAGCATAAAGGAAGGATTGCTGCCTATATAATATATATATATATATATATATATATATATATATATATATATATATATATATATATATATATATATCTGTGTGTAAAGATAGAGCCTTGGGGAATACCAGTGTTCGTGGTAAAAGAGCTGGAGGAGAACCTGTTTAGGACGACCTTCATTTCATGGTTTGACAGGAATTATTGTATAAAGTCAAATTATCGTCATGTAATACCGTATCCCTGAAGCTTACGAAGAAGGCCGGCATATCAAACACTATCAAACGCTTTAGAAATATCTAGAGCCACGCCTTGAGCTTCTCCGTTAATATGAAGTGCTTCGTATACAAATTCAGTTATGGCCGTGAGCACGTCAGCGGTAGATCGGGCAAAGCGGAAACCATATGGCTGCTTGTCGGAGAGCAGATTGTGTGAAGTAAGGTGCTTAATCACTTCGAAGACTTTACCGAAGAGTGGTAGGAAACTGATAGAACGGTAGTTAGATGGATCAGAAGGGGATCCAGAGTTCTTAAAGACAGGCACAAAAGATGATGACTTCTAACAGGCTGGAAAGAAAGAGTCCGTGAGGCGGCAGTTGTAAAGTTTGGAGAGGACAAGAGCCAATCCAGGAGCACATATCTTCAGGACAATGGCTGGTATCCATCGCCATCACTAGTCTTATGGAAGTCTTATTTTGAGATGATGTCCAATACTATCGTTGGGGTTATATATATATATATATATATATATATATATATATATATGTATGTATATAATGTGTATTTGTGAAGCAACCTTTGTTTCAAACATCTTTCATTAAATACGATCGACAAGGAAGATTTAATTAACTTTTAATTATTTTTTCCAACATCCTTTTTCCATTTTGTAGGAGTAATAGAGTACAAACATTTTTCATAATTTTCAATGTCCCAAGCCCTTTCGGACACTTCTATAGCCATTTTCGTATCTTATAGAAATAACACAGCTCATAATTTTTTTATTTAATTTATGTAGGATTTTATTTATGTATGGAGTTTTCCATTTATATAATATTAATTTACATATGTAACTATCTAAAATTTTTGCACAAACACATGCACAATATATATATATATATATATATATATATATATGCGTTTCGTCGATATTTAAATACAAGAGAATGTTAAGAGATCTGTACCGACACATATGTAAGATTTCATCGATAAAACTATTATTAGTCTGAAGAAGAGCTTTTCAACGTAGGATTTTTTTCCATTTTGTCATTACAATTACCAACTATTAGTCTGACGTATAGATTTTAATATCTATCTATCTATCTATCTATCTATCTATCTATCTATCTATCTATCTATCTATTTAATTCCCTTATTCGTCTGTCTGTCTGTCTGTCTAATTCTCTTCCTCATCTATCTATCTATCTATCTATCTATCTATCTATCTATCTATCTATCTATCTATCTTAGTCGTGTGGTTCTCTGTCTATCTATCTAGTTCTCTTCCTCGTCTGTCTTTATATCTCACTAGCTAATTCTCTTCCTCATCTATCTATCTATCTATCTATCTATCTATCTATCTATCTATCTATCTATCTATCTATCTATCTAATTCTCTAACCTCGTCTGTCTGCCTGTCTGTCTATCGAATTCTTTTCCTCGTTTATCTATCTGTTTAAGTATACGAGTCTTTTTTCTCCGTGTTCCTCCAATACAAGGCTCAAGACATACTCAAGGTAGAGGGTTACTTAATCAGGTGTGTGGTATGAATTTTAGAGTAGAAACTAAGGACCGTGTGAATATATGCAGCGTAGGTAAGGGTTGACTTGAAGAATTTAAAATTGTAAAGTTCATTGGATATGTTCATGTAGGTGTCTGTGGAA